CAGAGCAGGTCCGGAACCTTGGCCCTGGCCCTGGCTAAAGAGCCGAGCGAAGGGACCTTGCAAAGCGTCATTTCTTGTCCGGTCTTGTTCAGGACATAGCTTCAGTGGCCCAGTTTTCAGCCGAAAGATCATCTAAATCTGCCGTTAATGTTGCAGTCATACCATGACCAGTTCACCGGTTGAGTGGAATCAAAGAACGATGGACATGTTGGAGCTGCCGGTGTTGACAGAAAATAAGTTGCACTGTATGAAAATTGAACAGATCGACCCCTAAACTGGAGAGTTCTGGGGCATTTAGTGTTTCAGGGAAGGCTTATTCACTGGACATAGATTACATTCATGATGTTTTGTGCTTCAAGAGGCCGAGCGAAGCACACACAGCACACTGCCTAGCGGCAGCAACAGTGGCGAAAGACTACCCTGCTACTGTTGCAATTCATGAAAAACATCAGGGTAAGTTATAGGGGCGGCTAGTCTTTAAGTATATATTTCGTCCAGGTTTTCCAAATCTTAAGATGCAACATTTCCCAGGCCAATGGGGCGGCTGTGGCGGCTGTGGCTGTGGCGGCTGTGGCTGTGGTGGATGTGGTTGCGGCGGCTGTGGCTGTGGTGGCTGTGGCTGCGGTGGCTGTGGTGGCTGTGGCTGCGGTGCATGTGGTTGCGGCGGCTGTGGCCGGGGATGTGGCAGCGGCTGTGGTGGCAACTTCAATGGAGGTGGCCAATCGAATCTAGGTTTGAGAGTAGTCAGGCAGGTTGATGTTTGATGTCTTGTAGCTTCTGTCAGGTTGTAGTTGATTTAATCAACAAAAACTGGATACATGCTTCATGGATACATCAGAATCATCAGATGCCCTGTTTGCCCAACACATGGGCAGTCCAGGGACTGCGCAGTCCGGGGACTGTTTTCTTTGTGATCTTCCAAAGGTACGACCCCTTTCGACGCAAGTCGGACCAAGTAACAGGTGCCACGCTGAGGCGGTGTTTCACCAAGGCGGTGTTCGCCTCCCCCGGCCGCCGCTGCGTCGGTGTACGGTGTTGGGGTTGAACCCGACCAGCTGGGCCTTCGCGAACGGCCAGCTTGGGCCAGCGATGACGCACCGCCTTGGGCAAGCGGTGATTTGGGGGGTCTAGTCTTGTTCATCGTCATGCGATGTGATTTGGCGGGTGTTTTTTCATCACACCGTTTCACATTGAGGTCTCTATATTCTTCCACAACAGTTTCTCTAAATGTTGAATCATGTTGACATCTGTCGGTGGATGCATGAATTTGCCTGTGAAACTTGAGCAGTTTGCTCCACATGTATCCATGTGGATGGATGGTCACCAGTCACTTTGTTCTGTTTCACATCCCAATCCCTCCTCGTGGTTCAGTTCCATCTGCGTGCCAGCATCTGCGCTGCGCGCCTCGCACACTGCCTGGTCCGCCTCGTCGCTACCTCTCAGGATAGACCAGGGTTCTTTGTGGGCCTTCCGGCAACGCTATCCGATGGATGATCAAGCCTTTCAGCTTCTCGACAAAAGGGCGACCGAACACAAAATTCGGCGTTTTTTTCGGCGTGGCGCAGCCGTTTTGCGCTTTTCCAGTTTCACGCCACACCACAGTGGGTGTGTGTTTTCTGTGTGGTGTGTGGTGTGTATCTGGCGTGGAATCTGTGTTTCACAGCGGGCCAGCCCCATTCAATGGGTGAAGCTGCTGTGTTGTGAGCCGAAATGGATCTCATGCCCGATGCATCAAGTGATCCATAGCACCAGTGTAAAAATGCCAGGCTTTACATGACTTTTATGACTAGAGTGGACGCTTTTTAGCGGGAACGGTCCCTGTTTTTAAAAGTTTTCCAAGTCGGTGTAACCTGTTCATATGGGGGGTTGAAATATGATCAAGAGTTTGCGTTAGCTATATCTCCCAACTACATAGTCTGTTCTGGGCAACAAGAGCAAGTGAAGTCCAATGGAGTGAGCCGTTATGGTTAACCAGACTTCATGCGTGGCCCGTGGCCTTGCCCACAACCGTCAACCCCGTCAACACATGGTGTGGTTTATCAGTGCAGAACATCTTCCAAAAAACACGGGGGCTGACACCTGAATCACCTGGCTTCATGTGCGTTCAACGTACTCACCAGCTCCTTTTCAGCCAGTCAACCTATCCAACTTAGACGAATCCCAGGATCCTTCCCTAGGCCCCAAGCGCTGTTGAGAAGCTCCAGCTTGCCATGTCATGATTCATTCATCAAACAAGGCGCGACCACCACCATCTGCGAGATTCTACATGTCCAGCCACCGGATCTGAGCACCACCTGTCTTCGATCCAAAGTCAGTCAAAAGATGTGCGCACGTGCGTCTGACGGAGGACGGTGGGATGGTGTGGGCTGACATTCTCTCGCCCTTTTCTGCAGCGGATGACGTCAGGTTTCTTTGCACTGCTTCCCCTTCTGCGCAGCAGATGGTGGTGGACTCCTTCGCGCCCAATAAACAGGACTCCGACTACTCCGCCTTGGACGCTGGGCAGCGAGTTCACACGAGGGGCAGACTGGGAACGCAAGAAGCATTTTCAAAGGGGGGTGAATAGAGGCTTAGGAATATGTGATTGATATGGGATGAGTTTCCAAGATCAACGCCTGACCCCCCCCCCCTGCGGCCTTGAGTTTCTCAGTTTCTCCATGTTTCTCCACACTGATCCTCTATCCTCCTTTGGCCGAGATCATCAACTACACCCGACGCTGCAAAGAGACGTTCAACCCGGCCAAGCGGCAGCGGATGTTCTGAGTGTCGGTGAACCGCGCATGACGCCGGGCACCCGCGCATCGTGGCGTGGGCTCACAGAGATGGCTCGATGTTTCCTTTGGAAGGCCGTCGAAATCGATAAGTGAACATACAGATGGATGAAAACTATCATGTACTGCATTGGTACTTGGCCCCAACCAATCTACTATCAACTATTTGTGATACAGTTCTTGCTACCCTGTGGATTACTGCTTTGTTCAGATAGAACCGGAGTCGGCCTTGGACGTTTATGAATCAAGAGTCTACATTAAAGAGTGTTTTTGGTCATGGCTCAATGCGAGAGTCAAGGTGATGCAGGTCTCCTTAGCTCAAGGGTTTTTTGAGGACTCCGGGGACAGTACGTGTGGTCAACACAGAGCATTAGTTTGGGTCGACTGATATGTGTGATTACATTCATTATGGCCGTATGGCTGTTGAAGAAACCTGGACACACAGGGCCCAGCAAAAGCGGGTTGGAAGAATCATGGAGTCTTCTTGCCGTGCTTCTTTCTATCAGTTTCATTCAGTTTCTAAATGTTGCTGTCACTGACGACACACCCGAGAATCAAAAACTTCTGGAATGCTTTTATAAGCGTCCTAGCCAGAACCACTAAAGGACACGGCCTTGAGATCGTCTTCTTAGAGTTCACTGTAGGGCGTGTTGAACCTTCAGAATTCTGAGGAATTCGGGCGGATTCGCGCCAGACTTGTCAGAAGCATAGCTCCAGAACTTCGGCCGGTGGTTTGTGTACACCATGTCTTTCAACGTGTGCGTTTGGACGGCCCAAGAAAAACCACGAACTAGACCGCCCGTAGACCGACCGCTTGAGCGACGCCGCTCGCTCACAAGCTCAGGGCCATCGATCCATGAGCCACGGCAACGACATGTTGGTTGTTTGTGTGGGATGTGCCAACACAAGTCGCTCATCCAAGCCATCACGGTATCACGGCATCACCCAACTGAGTTGCTTGGACTCTAAGCTTGGACTCTTTTTGCGGGTGGAGACTCAGAGGCCTCCGAGCCACCTGTTGAAGATTAAAGTCTTTGAGGGTCCCAAAAAGGGGCACAAGGGTTTTCTTGGAGCAGTTTAGAAGAGCTCCGTCGCCGTGTTTTGGTGAGTTGCTCATGCTGAGACGGGCCCCTCAAAAAATGGGTTTGCAGCATATGAGACACCATGAAAGGCACATGAAATAAATGCATAGAAATGCTTGAACACTCTTATCTACGAGCAGTTTGTCCTTTCGACTTCCAACTTTTCGTAACGACACACTTGTTGGTTTCTGTGCAAATTGGAACTCTATATAATTGCTTTGAGGAAGAAGGCTCTTGATTTTGTGGGTGAACAAAAGTACACAATATAATATTTGATGCATCATATTCTTTTGCAATCCTCTGACTCTGATAGCTTATCACTCGAGGCTTCGATCATATCGTGCTTGCTGTGTACATCCCAGGTTTCTTCTCCCATCTTTCTAGGAGGGAGAACTGCAGACGCATCAGTGGTTTCGCTGCATATGAATGTGAGAAAAGGCCAGCTTGAGGAACTTGAGGACGTGCAGCTTGAGGGCTGCCAGCTTGCCAGCTTACCGCGGGCTTTAGAGGGACATTGACAGTGTTTCGCTTTGACAGAGGGGCAGTTCAACGCTGCAAAGAAGTGAACGAAAGCCTCTTAAGAGGGACATCTTTGGCAGGGAGTCCCATCTGACCTACTGACCAGTCCCATCTTCGAAAGTAGCTCTCCGCAGATGTCGGGAATTTTCACAGTCCCCTTCTTTCCCAACACCGAGAGCTTTGGGTGGGGAACTTACAATCATCATCCAACATCATCCTTTCATATCCTTTCTTTTTTCGTTCCACCCCACGCTGGGTTGGGTGGATAGGAGGTCAGGAGGTTGGGAGGTGGTGTTTTGACTACACATTCCCAGCATCCACTTGATCTACTGGAACCTTCCACCAACCTCAGCATCAAGTTTCTCATTAGCCACTGATAAACCCTCATGATATTGCAGTGTTTTTTGTGTCACACGTGTCAGACACGTGTGACACGTGTCACACGCCACACAAGAAAGGGCAAACCAAGCTGTTGCGAAGCTTCAACAAGTTTTATTTTATTAAGACTTTCCTACCACGTCTAGTATTCCCAAGGCCTGAAGACTGAGCAGGCTCCGTCGCAAATGGACCATATCGACCCTTCCAAGACTCTGCCGCGTGCGCGCGTGCGCGCGCGCGCAGTGCGCAGGCTCCGGCGGCACTTGCGGCCGATTTGGCCGGAGTTGAAGCAGATCAGCGGCCACGACCCAAGGGCCGCCATGGTCGGGGAGCGGAGCGCGGTCTTTCTCAACGCTGGGGCGTGGCGTTGACCAATGTGTCTTCCGCTGGATCTTGGAAGGCGCCCAGTTGTGCGCCCTCATGAAGTAGGACAAGCCCATTGTGTGTGCCTTCTTGGCCTGTTTTGGAAGGAGGGAAGTTGAAGGAAGCTTGCCCGCCACAAGAACCCTGCGGTTCCTGGTGTTTTCCAGCTATATAATATCTAAGTCTTCAGCTCAATCACCTGGATGTTTGGCAGGTCGACCCCCTGACAGCAAAGAAGGGGGAAGCAGTGTCAGATGCTCCATGGAACCTGTTTTCAGGGACCATCGATGGGGCTGACTTCGGCGATGTTTCCTTTAGCCGTTAGCCCGAATCCATCTCACCCTGTTTGGCCTCTCCTGGATTTGCATGCTAGGTGCTAAACACGGCCTTGGAAACTTCTCTTTGAACACTTCTATGGCTGGTCAGTTGAGAATTTGGGGGGATTGACACATTTCTTCCACTTAGGCGGAGATGGATCAATATATATATATATCAAATGAAATCCAAGGGGTTTGGGGGTAAATTGCGTACAGCACCGAGATTAAGGCAGCTCATAATTGTATGGCCAGTCGTCCAGCCACTTCTTCTCCCACACCTGTTGATGTACATGCAGCCGTTGAGGCTGTTCAAGGTCATTGTACTGACTGACTGTTTGACCCGCCCAGGCTGGTTGCAGAGGTGTTTGCCAGAGGCCGCCAGAACAAACTGAGTGTTCGTCCATCGTCCGGGCTGGCAGAAGAGCCGTTCTGCGCATGACAAACGCCCAAAAGCCCTGCGTTGGATTCCCGTGGGCGCCCGTCTTGACAGCCCCGTCTTGACAGCAGCGGAACCTTTTTTTGCTGTCGCAGAATCATACCCTTCAACAGACTGGAGCTTAGCAGGGAATGAGGGAAGGATCCCCATGGTAGATACCTTAGGATCCATTCCCTGATTCCTTGCTAACCACCAGCTAGTCAAGTTAGGGGATATTCCAGAGACCGAGGAGCGTATACCAAGTCGGCCCTCATTGGGTTTTGAAGTGTTGTGCAAGGGATAGCCGCAAATGTTGCAAGAGGCCTTGACTATAATAATATAGATCTAAGTAGAATCTTGGCTGATCTTCTAGTCCATTTCTGAGTGAAGGAGCAACTAGGATCCCAGACTGAGTACTGATCGGGCTCGCCCGTACAAGCTGATTCGACGAAGAGAGAAAACAGAGCAGAAGTCATGTTGTTTCACACAGAAAAACACACATTAACATCGAAGATTGACGAGACTAAATTCAGATGATTGGACAGTTTTCATTGAAGGGATTTGAAGGGTAAAGCCATTTGAAAAGAACATATCATTGTGTGGTGTGGATGGACAACTTCTCATCAAAAAAACCCTATATATACATACTCGTACACGCGTGGTTGCTTTCGGAAAGGACTCTTCATCGAATATCCAGCCTTTCTTTTTTGTATGTTCGACCCAATGAAAGGGACGAACACATTTGCTGCTCAAGTTCTTGATCCACGCCCTTACTTTGGCACACACAAATAATATCAAATAATTACACACATTCACATACACACATATATACCCTCCACCCGCCACCCCCCTTTTGCTGGCCAGGTAGATCATCCCTTTTGGTGCCGCTTCAGGCGACCTGGACCAGACCTGGACGCCAGGATTGGGTTGCGGACTGGCTGAGTTTGGCAGTGGACGTGCGCGGATGAAACGACTGGTTTCGTGAAAAGCTGGGTGAGTTCCTCTAGAGTTTCTGGACCCAGAAACTCGATAAAGGTGTCACACACAGTTCAGTCAGCAGCTTGGCATGTCTCGTTTCCTGCCGATGATCACTTAAGCTTTGGGTGCTTCCTCCATGAAAAAGGATCGAGAATGGACCTCTGAAAAGTGTGTAGACGGACGCTGTGGACGTGGGCCGGGGGTCTACATGGTTCGTTTTGCGGCAGGACGGGACGCGGCCTCAAGAAATAGAACAGTTGAGACTCTTGTTCTCCAAGACTCCAGAAGTCCCTATGACCGAAGATGGTCATCAAAAGGCTTGCGGCCTCACGAGGTCTCGTTAGAAGAACTGAACCAATGGACCTGGATGAGGTTCCTTTTTGGAGCAGCGGCAATACCTGGTTGGCTAGGCTCTATTGCAGTGGCATGGCTTGAAGGTTTGTGCATCACGTTGTTTTGGGTCACGTGACAACCGGAAGCCATTTGGCCGGGTCACACCCAGTCGTCCCTTTTCCGTTGGCAACGACCGGCTCAGCCGCGTGGTGACTGGTGTTGGATGAAGACGTGGCTTGTCGCGCTCGAAGCGATGACTGGTCCCAGTGCGTTCCCTGTAATCCATGAGCATCAGAGAGCAGAGAGCCAGAGAATGAAGCGCGAACCGACCTCGATCGACATCGATCGTCACTGTCACTTCCGGTCAAAAGTCACTTGACCTATTGGGCTTATTGGGCCTTCTCTACCCTTCAGACCACTTCGGCACGTGGACGTCGGTCCCCCCAACCGTCACCACCACGTGGACGTCGGTCCCCGCCGGTGACGTCCCGGCGCGGTCGACGTCGGAGGTCCTTTCAGCAGCTGTCGCTGGAGCTTCAGACCCTCACGGAACTTCTTCAGGCAGTTACCAGCCATAAGGCCTGCCCAGACTCGGAGTGGGGTGTGGCACGTTTTCAGAGGGCGAAGGGTTCAGGAGAAGAAACTCTAAGTGCTTGGATTTGGTAAGAAGTTTTGTTGACTCATGCGTAGAGGCATCCAGTGGAAGGGGAGTGGATCATAATGACACTCTCTGAAATCATCATGGTGAATAGCACGGCCACGAAAGGATGAGAATGACATTGGAAGACCAAACAGCCGGTTTTCACTTCACTAAACCATGGAACGTGATTCCGAGTGTATTTCTAGTCCATGGGCACCCGTAGCCAGCGGTGTTCTTGAATCACCCCCCCAACGAGGTGAGCGTCCCGATCCAGATGCTGCAGAGGGCGGCCGATGCCCACCGCAGGCGCCGCCGGGATGGCGTGGATGCGAGAGGCATCGCGAAAGCGTCCGACGCGTGGAAAGGGCCTTGGCAACTTCCAAGAATCATTGTGTTCATGTGTATGGAACAGAACAGATGGTGGAACTGCCACATGGCCATATAGAACGTGATAGTGGAAGAATCCACATATGGAACAGATCAGATGGCCACGTCTGTATGCCTGTATGATGGAAGGGCCTCGTTTTCGGGTGTCGCCGTGTATGTAGAGGCCGCAGAGGTGAAACGAGCTGTTGTGGAGGGCGTGAGCTCGGCTTTGATCCAGCGGATATCGTTGGGTTCCTTCAATTGGATGGTTAACCAGCAAAGGTTCATAAAGATTCAATGAATGTACGGTCACAAAGGGGTGGGATGATGGGCACCCCATCCAGTGAGTGGATGTTCTGGGCACCCCTTTGTGACCCCTGGTACATGGATCCATTTGAAGGAAGCAAACACAACTCATCCAGACTTCCGTGGGCTTTCGGAGTTATTGCGGCTTCGACTCCAGCTCCATCGGTTGTCTTCTCATCGTCACCGGTGGTTTTCTCTGCAAAACTCAAGCCGATGGAACCCGAAAACCTGGGGAAGACTTGGAGAAATCATGCTCCCAGACCTTCAAGAAGTTCTAACTTAGCTATAATCGTTGGCCTAGAATTGCGCACATGTAGCATGAAACCTGGGGCGGGCATTCTCTATCTCGACTCGGCAGCTCAGTGCGAGCCGTTTGAGGCTCACGCAAGAGCTGAAGCTTCTGCAAGAGCTCCGTAGACTTTGGGACGAGAGCGCGGATTTGGAGGCGCCCCCAGCGACGGCGATGCGGACGATGCGGAAGTCGGTGGCGGGTGGTGGTGGCGGGGGCATCCGCAGGGTCTGCGAGTGCTGGGTGGGTTGGAAGGTGGCCACTCCACTCATGCGAAGTCTGAAGGTTCTTGAGGGAAAGTGCAGCCAGGGAGCTGCAAAAGACGGTCAAGAGGTGTCCAGAGCATCCAAGATCAAGAAATCGTATGAGGGACGACGAAGTATATCATGTGGTTTTGTTGGACGAACAGTTCTTTGCGAGACATGCAAGGCAGTGCCTTGCCAGTTTTGGATGTCCATGAGGAATGATGAGGATTTATAGGCCTAACACTATATATTTTTAACGGCCTCCTCATAGTCCCACCTCCGTCATCCGGCCCTTCGTCGGGGATCAAGATTTTGGTCACAGCCAGTAACGCGCGAGCACGCCCGCGTTGGGGCGTTTGGTGCCGCCATGACAGAACGAATCGCACCTTTGGCGTCAGCGAGAGCGTTTCCCTGTTTGACCAGGTGTGGGGAAAGGAAGATGAAAGGATGAAAGAGGTCCTCACCAGCTTGATGAACAGTTTTTTTGGGGGTGCCAAATCAGCAAGAGGAGAGAAATGGAGAGAAGCATAGAGAAGCCACAAGACATGATTTCATCGCGTTCGTTGCAGGACATGATTATAGGATATTATAGGTGAGCTTTTTGGCCAGGTTTTGCACCCCCCCCCTCACCCCCACCTCCCAGACAGCATACCTCAGGTCAAGGCCCCAGCAGAAATCGCCGTATCCATCTTCAGGAAGATCTGCCCATGACCTCTTCCGAGCACCTCAACATTGAGCTCGACTCGGACGGATTCCTGGAGTTTGTCTCGGAGGAGGCCGAGGATGCGAGGAGCGACCTCAGTAGCTGGAACCTCGTGACCAGCGACCTCGGAGGTGAAGACTGGTTCCCCGTGGGCGACGACGACGAGAGTCCGGCGTCGACCGGCTTGTCTGGCGGCGGAACGCCCACGGCGCAGTTCCTGCGCGGTGAGGGCGAAGGCGACGAGGGCGACGAGGCTCTGATTTCGGTGGAAGGCGGACTGAAGGAGGTGGAGGTGATTCCAGCACCAGCGCCTTGGAGGTCGTTGGATTCAACGGGGGAAGATGACGAGGATGATCCAGGGTGGACGGAACAGAGGGAAAGGGGGCGTTTGGGGGTGGGGTTGTTGTTGGGCTTCGCTTGCGGGAGGTCGGAGCGGCACGTCGGCGACTGAAGCGGGTTTGATCCTCCAGGGCTGCTGTTTGATCGCACCGAGCGGCAGCGCTTTGGAACTCCGTGTCCCGCACACCCAGTACGTGTGTCGTGGTGCTCCTGGGGGGGGAGGAGCCCATCAAAGGTGAAGAGGTCTGGGATTTGGTGGGACTCGACTATGTTCAGAATCCTCACTTACTGTGAGGGTGACTCATGAGTTTGCTCATCTATTTCGTTATGATTTATGATTGCTTTTGTTTTGGGGGCTGCTGCTAGGCAGGGCAGGCTTCCGTGTCTTGTCCCTATGCTTTCTAGTTTTAAGTGGTGCTTTCCACCTTGGCCCCAGCTGACTGAAACAGCTTGCCACAGTCTCGTGCTAAGGAAAAGACCTTGAAGACTTTGGTAGGCTGGGCTGATCACTTCTCAAACGGCTTGGGACACCTGACCATCCACCGAGTTATTTGAATACTTGATCCCAATGGTCAGGTGGATTTAGGCTTCGCCTTTACGGTAACTACATGGGCGTAGGAGGCAGGATTGTTCAGCCTAGAGGTGATTTTGGGAGGATGCACCATAAGGGACACTACAAAAAAGTAGAAACGGCACTTGAAGAGCAAAGACAGATGTCCCCATGTTGTGTCAATTCAATTCACTACTTTATGATCATCCCCCCAAATAGAAGTCTTGGCACCCACCAAAAGCTCAATGTATGCAGATTCATTCATAAACCCTTTATTTCACTCCCCCTTATTTTGTTTTGATTAGAAGCTTCGTCTCCACCCTCCACTGTGAATTCTCCGAAAATGCCTCAAGAATGACATCGTAGGGCCCGTCCCTCAACCTCCATGGCGAGATATGCCCATGACTGACCCCTTTTCAACCACACCCAGTGTAGATCAATGTAACAAACAAGAACTAATATTACTATACATCAATATGGCGTGTCTTGGATAACGTTCTTTGGATTAACCCTAGGGCCCCCTTCTCCTCGCTTTTTGGGCTATCCATTCACCTTCCTGAAATGGATCCTTTTTGGGGTATGCACCGTCCATCGACAGCCATACCTCCGACTTGGTCCCGCCTCCGCCCTCGGCCGGACCGGTGGTGATCGGTGAGCTTCAGCTCTCGTCAGGTCCCCTGACGATCGACGGCGTGGACTTCTCGGCGGTGAGCTTCCTGCTGGGCGAGTGGGTGGATTCCCTGGGACACTGCGTATCGGTGGTCGCCCGCGACGAGCAGAGCGCGAAAGCACGGATCAGTTGGGATCACAAGAATCAGAAGAAGACGAAGTGACGTGGATGCTGGATGATGTTGGTGTGAGTTGGGGCGGGGTGGATGTAGTGAGTGAGGATGTTGGCTGTGAGGAGGTGTGACGTGAGTTCGGTTGGCCGGGTAGGTGAGTGGATGTTGGTGTGAGGATGTGTGAGGAGAATTCGGTGGGTGGGGTTGGGTGAGTGGATGTTGGTTGCTTCAGCTGGGGATGTGGATGATTGGAGTGTTTCTGTTGGGTTAGGGGCGGGGAAGACGTGATTCAAGACTTGGCACCCTATGAAGATGGGTCCGGTCAGCTACACATGGAAATTCGAAACAGGACCGATCATGGCTAGTCGGAGTGTTCGCAAGGACCTGAGCCAGCAGCTGGTGGCGGAAGCTCCTTCCATCTATGACTGGGTGGTGGTTTCGGAATGTGTCAGATATGCTTATTTTCAACCTTTACTTGGAATGATTGAACCGCCAGATGACTACTATTCTTCTGAGCTGAAAGCACGTAACCAGATGAAATCTCCTCCCAGGCTTTGGAAGACCTTTCTGAAGATCTATCGTGAGGAGGCCAATTCGCCGATGGTCGTGCCTCGAGATGGGACTGACACCCCAACATGTCTGTTAGATGCGGGCCCATATAAACCACCAAACTTGGGGTAACTTATGCCATCTACTCTGAAACCACTGTAGAAGTGAAGGACTTTTGCTTCGATCCGTTGATGTTCCGGAACTTCAACTTTGAGGATCGAATCTACTGAGACTCCGGAGTTTCAGCTCACCATCTCTTCACATCTCAGCCAAACTCCTAGGAACTCTCTCCCTCCCAGCCTCCCACCCTCTTCGACGCGCGGTCCGCACCCCACCCAGCCGCCCAGCCACCGCATCCACACGCGCTCCGACCTGCTCCGCTCCGACGCCGCGCGGCTCCCAGGGACGTTGGATCTGCGGGAACGGTCGGTTGCTCTCGGCCGACGTGGGGCGCGTTCAGTGGCAACGCGAGGACGGCCGCTGCACAGCCGCTGGATGGCGGTTGGGGTGAGGGGTTGGGTGAGTGGGTGTGGGTGGGGCCTTGGTTTTGGTTGGAGATGGAGGAGGCTGTTGGAGTCACTTGGTGATTTCGGGCATGGTGGGGGAACAGCATGTTGAGTGATACAGGTGGAACATTCATGGTTGAGGGTAGAAAAACTGCTTTTAGGACGCGCACCAGATTTCAATGAGCTGTGCCAACTTGGCGTCAGTCTTGGCATCCTTTGATTCGCAAATTCATACTGCGCCCAGCACAATAATTACTTCAGTGTGCCATCCCGGCATGTCAAACAGGGTGTGTCTCAACATGGGGCACACGTCTCAGTAGTAGGCAAACAAAAAGATGTTCCTTCATCCATCTTTATCCCCTCATTGTGTTCAACAGACCCATGCTTGAAATACCCTGATAAACCCTATAGACAAGTCCTCAACAAACAAGGCCTAATAAAGCCTATAGCTTAGCCGCCTGACTATCAGCTTTCCATCCCAACAATTCCCGCACAACACATTCTCTGGGGCGTCACGTCGGTAGCTTTTCACTGAACATGACCCGACTCCTTCGGTTCTCGACGTGGAGGATGGTCTCCTCTCGGTGGATCTCCTTTCTTTCGGACGCCCGGTGTGTCCCGCTGCTTCGCTGGACGCTGCTTCGCTGGAAGCTGCCTCACTGCGCTCAGGAATGGATCCGCACTCTTCCAGCCTCCAGGGCCTTCTTATCGGCCTACGTGAGGCCCTGCGCGCAGTAGTCACCGGCATGCGGCACGATCGACGGCCAGAATCGTCGGCGCGCTCGCAGCCGGCCAGTTCTCGAAAAACGATCAGATCCGCGTGACAGGACATGACTCTCAGGACCTCCTAAGTTCACAAAAGAACGCCATAGGCCATAGACCTAAGCTGCTCAGGCAGAATGTAGCACGGGTGGTCCTGGAGGTCTTAGACAGGCCGTTCGTCCCAGTCACAGTGATCAGGGGCAAAACTTCTCCCACGGCCAACACTTGAGTTGTGACTATCTGACTGGGATGAACAGCCAGGTTTGCAGCGTCGAACACAGCCCGCTCAGCCCGTCCTCCGCGCGCTTTCCATCCTTGCGCCGCCTTCTTCGCGTGCCGCGCCGGGCGCGCAGAGCGCGCAGAGCGTTGCGCCCTGCGCAGCGTCCATTTTTGATGCCATGCCTTGGTGGCAAAGCACAGGACCACCGAGGATTGTGTCGCGCGGCACCCCTGATGTGTGTGCCTGTCGTGTTTCGAAGGAAAGATCCTGGGTCAGTTGAAGCACTTGTGTACCTTGATGGAACACATCCGTAGCCCTCCACACACTGCCACACTGGCTACACACTGGTTACTAGAGCAAAGCACCGTAGTCAAGGGAGCCTCTTAGTAAAATCAATCCATTTTGTTGCATGTGTCCAAGACAATTGTTGACTATGGAGGTCAGAGTGGCATTGATCCCAGAGTGGTTTAATTCGAGTGGACCCTTTGGAAGCGATTTGG